AGGGTAGGAGAGATAAATAGAGAAAGAAGGAGAGTCGTCAGTTCAAGCTGAGGTTGAAAGAGAGAGAAAGAGAAAGAGAGGAGGGGATCGGCGGCTTAGCCACCCTTTCGAGCCAATGGTGAGAGGAAGAGAGAGAGAAGGGAAAGAGAAAGAAAGGAGCGTACCGGTGGCTTAGCCATCTGTTCGAGCTGAGAGAGAGAGAGAGAGAGAAAGAGAGGGGGACCAGCAGCTTAGCCATCAGTCCGAGATGGGTGAGGGAGAGAGAAAGAGAGGGAAGGAGAGGGGCCACCGGTTTGATCTGGGAGAGGAAGAAGGGGAGAGAGAGAGTCCTAGCCCGGTGAGGGAGAGAGAAAAAGAGGGAAGGAGAGGGGTTGTCGATCCAATCCGGGAGAGGAAGAAGGAGAGAGAGTGAGAGAGAGAGTGGGAGAAAGAGATATGGGGGGAGGGGGACTGAGAGAGAGAGACGAAGAGGTAAGCTGTCGATCTGACAAAGAGAGAGAAAGAGAGAAAGAGAGGGGACTGGCTGTTTGAATACATTTTTTAGCACCTTGGTCCCTGATGTGGAATAAAGAGGAAGTCGGTCAATAAAGCCTGACATATAGTGGAATTCTCGACAGTCTCAAAATTGCCCCAAAATGGGTCAGAATCTTCTTAAGTACTTCAAAAGGTCATATGCCAAATTTGTAGTAATCCAACATGTTTAAGGAAATGCAGACAAAGAAACAAATTTCCAAAAAATCAGTCTTTAGCACCCTGAAATGGACCCGTTAACTAAAACTCTATTTCGGTCTGTCAAATTGTAGTGGGACCACCACCATTCGATCTAGCACAATTGAAAACCCCTATGGGTAAAATTTCAACATAAACTAACACTCCAAGAAGAAGTTATGGGCAAAAGATCGAAACATGAGGAGCCGCACACTATTCCCATGTGGCCACCCTGCAACTAAACTCCATTAAAGTACTGTCTCGATCAGTGACTTTCGAGGTCCATATCTCATTTGTCCTGAGTCGGATCACGCTCAAATTTTGTGAGCATGTTTGTCTCATCAAGACGAGCGTTTAGATGTGTGGCACGCCCCGTGATGACACTCGAACAAGGAGAAAAGCTAGAGAGAAGTTGCTGATCCATGAAGAAAGTTGCAAAAAATCAGCAACGACATGCCTCGCTCGAGCGGCCGAATCATGACGCTCGTGCATCATATTGATATGAGATTAGTTCCATCGTGTGCGTAAGGTCTAAGCCTATCTTTGGTTCAAAATCCGTACAAGATGAACAATCAAATTTTGCACATGAAGCCAATACATTGACTGTAAAATTTTGGCGCTGGAATTTCGGATTCCGACCAAAATTCCAAGTTGCGAAATCTTTGTCCGAGCATGAATTTGAGCTGCGTTCATTGCTATGAGATCGTGACGGCATGCTTAGTGTGATCCAGGGAAGAAATCATGGAGAAACATCAATGAACGAGTACACTATCGATTCAAAGTTTTCGAGATTCATCTAAATTTCAAGTCGCATGATCGTGGCTTAAAAACATTATTCATGGCTCGAAGTTAGTATCAAATCGATCGCCATACCATGAGCTCTTGTAAGTAAAATGTCTCCATCTTTCTATCTTACAACCCCTTGGACCCCTTTGACCATAAATTTTTGACCCAAATAGACACCCTATTCAAACTCCATCTCGCTTTTCTCTAAAACTCCATCTCTCTCTCTTCGCTTCTCGGTGAGTTTACCTATTAAGGGGTTTAGCTTGAGCTCGAACACGAGCACACCTTTTTATGTGTGTGAGAGAGAGAGATAGAGTTTTAGAGAGAGAGATAGAGTTTGAGTTTTAAGGAGAGAGATGGAGTTTTGAAAGAGAGAGAGGATGATGTGAGAGTAAGAGATGGAGTTTGGGTTTTAGAGAGAGATGGAGTTTTGAGAGAGAGAGAGACGATGATGTGAGAGAGATGAAGTTTTAGAGAGAGAGATAAAGTCATTTTATAAGTTGTTGAGGTCACTACTACATGGTCAAAAAGGTTTAGGGCATTGGAAGATAGAAAAAATTGAGTCCTTTTGCTTACAAGTAATATTTTCAATTCTTCGGTCTAATGAGATATAAACGTTAAAATTAGGGGATAATAGGATATTTTCCCGTTCTCATTTTTACTATTCACCTTCAATATACCAACCGCGACTTTCACCACATTAATGTGTTTGGTGGATTCTCAGCATCTTAGCTCTTTCCAGCATGGAGATGGTCCTTTTGATTAATTTAATATGATTGTGATTATCATATATTTCTTATTGGGTTTATTGTTTTGATGTTTGTTGGTGGTTGATCATGGGTCTACATTGATCTGATTTTATTGGAATCATTTTTACAACAGATTGGGATTATATTTATTTATTGATACATATTAATATATATATTTAGTTATTGGTTGATTTTTCAATTTGATGCTTGCATATATTGCAACTGGATGGAAGTATCAAATTATCAGCCTTTTTTCCTATTTTGTTCTTTAATCGTCTGATTTTTATTTGTTTTTTTGTTACATCCATATATTTTTATTTTGATTCTCAATAGTTTTAAGCATGTTATTCACTTGGAGCTGGTCCCTAAGTTACATTATATCATAATTTAGGTTTGTACATGTATATGTCTGTGCATTTTTATGGCATGTTAAGAATGGCTTTATTATTTTAATTTATGTTTTCGTTCTTTTTGAAATTATGGTGTTTGTATGCATTGTCTCTAATATTATGCAGCTGGATCTTATAGAAAATTGTTCTTCATTGCCACTGTCTTTCGTGAAAATTTATAGAAAATTTCTTTCTTCTTTTGAAGTAATAGTAGTAGTAGGTCAGTGATCATTTCAATCACTATATGATGATCTGGGTTTTTTTTTTTTCTTGTGGAAAGAACAGTTTCTTGTGTGTCTTTCTTCCATTGATTAGTGTTCTATTCTTCTGAATGTTCCTCGGATTAAATTTTCTATAGTTCCTTATTAATACCAGGGGATTGTGTATTGGCCATTGTTTTGTTGCCTTGGGGTCAAAATGAAGTGATTTTTGTGATTAGGATTTGATTTTCAAAGAGTTCTTAGGAATTGTATGTCGATAGACTTGACTTTTTTTTATTTAGTATTATTATTCAAAAAATAGACATGGATTTTTCTTAATTTGGTAATATGTTGGATGAATGGAAGAAACCTTCAAAAGGGTGTGGTTTATATAGAGTCGAGGCTCTAAACAATCAAAGTAAAGTGTACCTTCAAATAATATTGAGAAATGTGGTTTCAATACTGGAAAACTTTATGATAGCCTTAATTATATTTTCATATTTAATTATAAAATTTAAAGCTTAAAAAATAGTGTAGATCGAGCAAATCTATGAAAATTTGAAAATATTGAAATTTGACAGTCCAAAAATGCGTTACAAGATGCACTATTTGAAAACTTGAAATCCAATTTTTTCTCATGTCCATGCATCTTGATGTTGAGATGATCAATTTGAGGATATTTGAGCACCAAAATAACCTCTTCTGATGAAATTTTTAAGGTGGGCTCTAATGTGATTGTTTAAAGCCTCGGCTCTATATAAACTTTTTTCATTACAAAATATTTTTAAAAAACTGTATTTCATATCATATCAATGAAATATCTAATAAACAATAGTTTCCAACTTTCCCATTGTTAAACAAGGTGAAAATCTAGAAACACATTACACTTGCACACTAATCTTCAAAACCTGAGGTCTCTATTTCTGAAATATATAGTTAACACATTACACTTTACGCCATTCATCGAGGGGGAGATCCTCTTCTTATTAATGATTGTCTATATTGATGATGGTCTATATTATGCTGCTGACTTTTTTAAATTTATGATCATGATAAACCAGTTATGGGTATCATGTTTATTTTTGTAAATAATCATAGCAATTTAGACAATAGACACTCGTAAACTTCCTAGAATAATCGAGGAAAGCCATCAGGAACACTGCCGAAGTAATCAAATGCTACCCTAGCAAGAGCAGACAATAAAAGAGGGTTGGGTATTTTGTTCATTTCTCAAATGTGAATTAGCAAGAAGTACAGGACTTGCAGTCTATCGCTGATGTTAGGTGTTGCCCGGCTTCTCACTTCTCGCCTCAACCATACTTTTGCGCTATCAACTTCACGGCTTTCGTTGTTGTTGGGGAGTAGTAGTAGTAGCAGGGGCTTGAGCAGTGGTGGTGTTAGGTCAAAGGTGGAGGCAGTTCTTAATTTGGAGGAAGTGAAGAAGGTGTTGAGCGACCTGAGAGCCGAAGATATCCAAATCATTCCCGTCAAATCCCAATGCGAATGGACTGATTTCATGGTCATTGCCACCGGCACGTCTACCTGGCATGTCCGCAACATCGCCCAAGCCCTAATTCACAAGGCAACACCATCCATCCATTCCTATTTTCATTATCAATAATGCATTTCTATGGACTCTCCTTTGTTTCTCTGTAATCAAAATGGGATTCAGGAAAATTGTTGGGTTAGTGTAGTTACAGTCTTCTTCTTCCAACCAACTCAACTCCATAAGTGAGAGTAGATTATTACTTTTGACTCCATAAGTGAGAGTAGATTATTACTTTTGACTCCAGAAGTGAGTGGATTATTACTTTTGATGAGCAGGTGAAGCAAAAGCAGAAAGGGGCTGAGCGCTTGCTGTTACCCAGTGTGCAAGGCCATGAAGGGGGAAACTGGGTGGTCATTGACTCTGGTCAGTTACATAGTCTCTTTTTCTCAAGTAAATTTTACGCACATTTGTGTACATATGCCTTAGAAAATGGTTAAAACTTAAAACTATTGATGCAAAAGTGTCAGTAGTGTATGGAAATTGCTGTGATCTTTGGATATGGTTGGGCATTGTGTGCTTGTTTGCTTAAGAAAGTTGTTGATTGATTTTGTTCCGTGTCATTATTTTAACACACAATTGTTGTTTTATGCATGGAATCTTAGGCAATGTGATTGTTCATGCACTTGATGAGAAGGCAAGATCGTATTACAAGTTGGAAAGCCTTTGGTTGACAGAGATGGCTCCAAAGGGGCCTAATCAGGTCTGTTAATTTTTTTAGAGCTATTCCTTCTATTATTTTGGGAGTAACATATTTTAATTTATAGTTATGGTCTCGCTTTATGGTAGATTGTCAAGAGCTCTTTGCTTTGCGGTACTTTTGTTTTCCTCTATTTTTTGAACAAGGTTTATTTAAATGTACATGGCTGCTATGTAGGGTTCCAACAGGTCTGAAATGGGCATAATAAATTAGTGCTCTATTGAAGTTCTTCCCACAAGATTTACATTTTGGATCTTCAAATTGTTTTTCTATAACTCATACACATGTTTTGATACATCATTTCCTTTATTTCCTTAGAGAAAAGCATGCCTTATTGTTAAATGCGTGTTGGAATACCTTTCTAACAATTATCAATAGAAATAGATTTTTAAACCTATTTGCACACTTTATTTTCCCTTTCGATTCTCATCAACTATTAAAAACTAAAGGGATGTCCATCACATTTTAGGATAAATTATTTAGGATAAATTGTATTTTTTATACGATTAGTAAAACATTTAGTTATCGAAAAAAATTTATTTGCTGCATCTCATGTCAAACATAGAAGGTCTGATAAATTGTATTGTATTTATTCCTTTGAGGAAGGTAAAAGGATGTCCCTTCCCAACGGTGGTTGTGCTGTAGCAAGTGATATTACACAAATATGACAAATCTGGACTATAGCTCATTTAGAATAAAATCTTATACGTGGCTACATTGCTGATATAATATCGATAGAAAATAATATAGCATTATAAAACTGTAGAACACTTAATATGAGAGGCTTTGGTTTTTGTAAGTAATGATCTATGAATTTTTTATGCATATGAATATGTTAGTTCCTGAATGTTATGATTTGGTGTTTTTCTTGTTAAAAAGAAATTATTTTAGATTGTTGTGATAGATTTGTTTCAAGATGTGGCTTGAGTAATGCTTGAATGTGTAGTCGAACAGATGTGAATATCAAGCTGATGGCATATGATTTCGAAGTACATTGCATCTTTCATGGCCTCACTCTCTATGTTTTCTTCTCCCATCAATACTATGTTGGGAGTTTGAAATTCATGTGACTTCCACTAAACTTTCGAGGAGATTCCTTTAAGCATCTTTTCAAGAGCTTCAGCCAACTGATCTACAATGCAATAATGGCAACATATGTTAAGAAGCTTGTGAATTGACCCTTGTCAGAATTTTCCGCTATTTCTTTTTCCATTTTAAGGCTTCCACCAATGAAAAGCTATTTTGTTATGATTCAATTTTGTGAGTAAGTTATTTCTTGGGGTATTTCTTATACAATTTTGTACACACTCACAGTAACGAAATGAGAAATCAAAATATGGCATTCAAGAAACAGAAAAAGAAAAATCCGATATAATTATATCAAAATTGAAGGATTTGTCTCCAACTAACTGTAGGATTTATCATAAGTCTGCAAATTTCACCAACAGCAAGGAACATTGGACTGCCAAATAGTGGCATGAAGTGAGACTAAAACTCTTAACAAGCGAAAGGATCATCCTACTGTTCTTGAAGCTGTTAGTAGCTTATGATTCTGTTTAATTGATTTGAAATGGACAAAAATTAACATGAATAAACTAAGGGAAAGTGATATACCCCCTTACCTACCTTGGTTTCTCAAAGTGGGCTCCAGTCATCTTCTTTCTGATTTTCCCCCCTTAATTCCAAAAAAGTAAAACAAACCAACTAGCTCGACATACAAACTCTCTCTCTAACCATAATTCTTATCTTTTTCCATTTCCTGTTGTTTCTCTAACCATGCCGCTTCTCCTCCCCCATATGCTTTTCTCTAGTGGAAGATGGTAAATGTTTCCCTACTTTGCCCAACACTTAAAGAGATCCACCACCAAGCTTCACAGATCAGATCCCAAAGCTTCTCAGATCTACCCCCTTCTCCTAATGCTTCACAGATTCGCCCCATCTCGTAAAGCTTGACAGGTCCACTACCAAAGCTCTTGAGGCTTTCTTTCATTTTTTATCGTATTTGTTGAGATTTTGTCTGGAATCTTTCAGGTTCTCTCTGGACTTTGGTGATGCATAGCTGGTTTCTATTTTGATGGGCTTAGAATTTCGAGGGTTTTGATCTGAAATTACAGGTGGGTAGCAGGTTTCTGTGTTGTGGGGTTGGGAATTGTTAAGGTTTTATCCTGAAATTGGAGAACGATTGCTGGTTTTTGCGTTACTGTGTTCAAAATCTTTTGTTTTTTGCACTGAATTTGGAGATTAATAACTTGTTTCTATGTTGTTGGGTACAAAATCTTTGGATTCTTACGCTGAATTTAGAGATGGAGAGTTGGTTTCTGTGTTGCTGGGTCCCAAATCTCTTGTTTTTTGGCTTGAATTTGGAGATGGTTTACTAAATTCTGGGAGGGAGTGGGGGGAGGGAGGCATTACATTTGCTTTTGGAAAATTGCTTAAGGAAACTTCGGAGGAAAAAGGTTTGGACTCCCCTTTGACTGCATTGACAGGAGGAGAGGGGTAGGGGGATGTTCGTTATTTTCCCCTCAACCAATTGTTATCAATATGTTTTCATTTATGGCATGTGTGCACCCTATGCTTTAAGGAAGATTCTGTGTGATTGAAGTTCAATGGTGACATGTAAGGCATTTAGAAGAGGAAATTGGATTTAAATGGAATTTTGTAAAATCTCTTTGAAATTGCACATTTCTTGTTCTGGTATTGTATGTTTGACACAACTTGAGCAAAAAAATAAAACTATGATATGATTTATTGATGAGTTATCAAAAAAAAAAATGATGTGATTTAATGGTCAGAAGGGCCAGTGGTCTAAGCCGCTGCCTCCATTGCACTTGGGAGGAGCTGTCCGACAATGTCCCTGAGTTGGAGAGTGATAGGTATATGGGGGCCAGAGATTTTATTCCCAAAATGCTGAGCCTGGGCTGTTTTAAGATCAGAATTTAAGCTAATCAAGCAAAGCATAAAGAACAAACTAAACTGAGAAAACTGAAAAACGTAGTCTTGATTCAAGTGGAGAGTAGAAGCCTGTAAGGTGACTGAGCAAAGGCTGAAGAGAACTTATGTTAGAGAGAAATAGTAACTAAATTACAAGTGATTTGAGCATAGAGAACCAAACAGGATGTAAACATTTTAGTCGTGCCAAAATCAATCCGTGGATTTAAAGGAACCAACTCAGGTTATATCAACATTTTTAAAGTCAAACACAGCTTGTGATTCTACCTTGTTCCAAGTCAAGTCAAACTGACTGAACTTGGCTGGGTCATGTAACGTCTTGGCCGAGTTTGTTCAAAATTTAAGGTATATTTGTGAGATTTGACTGCGTGAACTCATCAAGACTCACAAGGCTACTGGGTCGACTTGACTTGTACAAGTCTCATTTTGACTCTCAGGTTTAAAACACCTGTTATAGAGCACCGTTAGTAAAAATTATGTATGATGTGTTTCTGTCTGTCTATCTGTCCCAGGATCCAGTTAAATGGTAACACGAAAAAGCTTCATTGTGCATGAACATCTCAAAAATTGGATTCAGCAGGCAAAAGGCTGAAGACAACTTCTGCTAGACAGAAACGGCAATGACCTGGTTAGTGATTGAGTACAGACATTGTACTGGTTCCAAAATCAACCCTTTAAAACAAAAGAACCGACTTACGTTATATAAATGCTTTTAAAGTCAAACATAGATCATGATTCAACATGGTCCCTTGTCAAGTCGAATTGATTCGACTTGGTTTTGTCATTTGGGTGTGTCTATTCAAATTATATTGGTGATGACCAAGTTTTGTGAAACTTGTTGAGACTAACCTATGTATTGAGTTGACTTGACTTTTGCAAGTCTAAAGTTGGGTCTATGCATTTTAGAATGCTAGGTTATAGTATGCTGCTTCTCTGCATTGTTCCTTTAAACTGCTTGGGTTTGTAACTGTTGGTTGCGGGGTCAGTTAAATGGTAACACATGGACTCTTCTTTAAGCATGAGTTATAATAAATCATGAGGAGTTATCTGAATTCCCATTAAATCGTAGAAACAAATACCTCTCTCTCTCTCTCTCTCACTATATATATATATATATATATATATATATATATATATATATACTACTAGTAGTTAGTATACGTACTAACGTTAACTTAATACTATTACTTACTACTACGTTCGTTACTTACGTAGTAGGTACGTACTATACGTACACGTACTACC